TTATTGCCATGGTGGACAGACTGCTTGAAAAAGACAACATCAGCACTAAAGAGGGTGACAATGACCCTTCAGCAGCAGATTGCAAGGTGTTGCATACAGGTGGTAAGCAACTTTATATTTTAATCATTGACTAGAGTAAATAAAAATAGGAAAGGTCACAGAAGAATGAGATAGAGAAGAGTCAATAGTATGAGACAGCAAGGGTTTGCCAAGTTGTAGCCTTGAATGATGGAAAGCTGTTTATCAAATTACAGTTCTGTTGTGTGCTCCAACTGCTTGCTGTGCTCAATTATTTGTGCTACAATGAAAACCTCCTGAAACAAGAATGTTTCCCTTTTAAGGCTGATGTAGTTTAGTTTAGATTTTTTTTTTTATATGCCATTTTGAGAAAAAAGAAAACAAACAAAACAAAAAACAGTACTCTGGTTTGATGTCATTCTTCTGTAAACCCTTCCATTTTTCTGAAGAATACACTGATTTTTTTGTTTTCTGATTTGTTGGATTCATTTTTCCCTATTATCAATCTTTGTCAATACTGAAGGCTAAGTAGAGTGATTCCATGAGATGATGTAAAGAAAACTCTGTCCACGTCTGGCCTTTGTCACCAAAGTTTCTCATCTTCTGTGGTACATTCCTTCCAATATTAGATCTTCATAAATCTGATGAGATTTTTTGATGTGCAGTTGCAACAAATGAAACAGCTTCTTAGAGATAACGATGGGTAGTCTACATATAAGGAAATAAGAACCAACCCTTGTCCCACTCTTCAGTTAAATAAAACAAACAAACCCCACAAAACAATGAACCACTTTTTTTAATGGAGCTTTGTACACTTTTGGATTTTATTTTTTTTATTGTGTACTTTATCCTATACTTTCCTTTACATGTTCTTCCCCTCCTCCCAATTTTAATGACAATTCTATATTAAGGGTTTTAAAGTTATTAGCACTCATTTGTAATTTCTTTCTTACATAAAAATCATTACAACTTTTTTACATCTGCACATCATTTGTGTAGTACTGATGAGTTTCATGCAACAGATTTTGGTTGTGCTATTAATTTTTAATGCAGCTGCAACATCAGCATTTTTACCAGTGTGCAAGATTTGTGCTGGCAACCTGGGTTTCTTGTTTTTGGTGTCAGATGCGTTGGATTTATTTTTGTATGAATAGTCCAGAGACCAGTATGTATCTTACCTGTTTGCCTATCAGAGTTTCTGACTACCAGACAAGTATCCCTATAATGTTAGCTTGCCAATATCATCTTTGTTCTCGCATGAAGGCTTGCAGTTGCAAAGTACCAACACAGTTAGCTTTCTACATTTTCCAGACCTTTTTCAGATAAGAAGGTATAGATGCTCAACACTGAGGTAGGTATAGAAATAATCTTTAGAAAATGATCCCAAGCATACTGATTTTGATTTAAAAGAACAAAATTGAATTTGTTGTTGTGCCTAACTCCCTTCTCTTCCACCTGATGGTAAAAAGCTTTTCTGCTATTGTTAGCCAAAATCCAGTCTGTCTATTAGAAATGCTTTACAGGCAGAGAAGTAGTCCACTTTCACCTAAACTTCACCTTAACTTCAAATTACTGCAGTGCATTTGTATGTGTATACATAGATACATATGCAGTGTGTTTTATCTGTATTTCATATATACAGAACAAAACTTCAGATTTCCTGCTACTTCCCCAGTCTGAAAAAAATAATAATTTAGGATAAATCTTTTGGGTTAATTTCTGGCATGCTGAGCAACATGAACATTTAGACATTTTCCTTCACTCTCTTGAAGCCCCTGAACATGTTCTCTGTTGTTCTCTGTAAGCCATGAAATATATTTAGCCAGTCCATTTGAGTCTTTCACTGTAGTTATAAAAAAGTGTGCTCTTAGCTTTGATTCAGGCTCACATCCTACACAGGCAAAAGAAATATTAGTTAGCTCACAAAGCCAAAAAAACTTAAAAGGAAGTAACTTTTAAGTACTGTAATAAGCAGTCATCAAATAGAATGGAACAGACCTCTTGGTAATCACTGGTCAGAAAATTATAGATGTGTTCCATTCAGCTGAGGGGTTGTCTCCTGGAGCTGACAGGCCACAGACACAAAAAATATCAAAATGTTATGGCACTGCAATTAAGTAATCTTTTTTCCCTCATTTCAGGCCCTTCCCTATTTCATTTGAATACATAGAAGTGCTGTCCTGTGAGAGTCAGTGCTTCTGTAGTGTTGTGCTGAGTGTTCTCTCATTATAGGGAAACTGCAGCAGATTTGTGGGGCAGATCTCTTGCTTTTCAGGTTCTGCTTTTTGATTAAGGTATAATTTCCTAATGATGTTTTCATGAAAGCATCATGCAGTACCTTTGACGACTTAGATAGGACTTTCAAGGTCATGTAGAACTGGAGGTGTTTTTAAATTGCTTTCTTTTATAGGACTTAAAAGATGGAGCTTTCTGAAGAACCATCCAGATGTGTGCCAAAGTTGGTTGCCTAATGGTTTTCAAAATTACTGCCTTTGGGGCCAGAATTTTTCATGCTTTACTTCCCAATGAGAGTATGTTTTTATATGTTTGTTTTTCTCTGAATCTCCCTCTCTTAAGTTTGACGTGAAGCCCTGAGGATGCACCATGAAGCACCTACATAGAAGTTGAGATTCTAAGTTTAGGGTTGTGAATTCTGCCTTAGTTCTGCTCCACTTTTATACGTGAAGCCTGGCTGTGTTGGTTCAGAACTTCATAATATAAAATAATCATACTCTGTTTATACACATAGGTACATTTCTAAAATGACATCATTTTATGGTACATACAATTCACAAACATTGCAGATGGGAAAAGCTTGCTGTGTCTTGCAGTTATATAGAATACTATAATTCGAGCATAGTGTGTTTAATGCTGCAAAGGTTTGGGCAGAGGTAGACCCTTGAGTCTGAAACTGCATCAGTACTGGAGTCGATCCGAAGGAAGGCTGTGCTGCTGTTTGTAAGAAAAATGGGGAATACCCAGGGTTATGAGCAAAACATTGAAAAGTATAGGATGAAATGTTTGCTTATATTAGTGACCCTGACTGTTATATTATAATTTTTTTTTAGTATATAACAATGAAAAAGATGTCAAAGAATCCACAGGAGTTCATTTGAGACGGTAGATAATGTTATGACAGTAGTTTGACAGTTTTGAGCAATAGCATATTACTGTAACTATAGGTGTTGTCATAACATTTATTCAGGGCTTCCTGAGCTAGATGCTGACATCGTGTGTTCCTATTCTTTTTCCCCCAACTTGCTTATATTTATTATATGGAAGCTTTGTAATCAGAAATAACTGTGGCACCTTTTTCTTGTACTTACTTTTTAAACATGAAATATACCTTCCATAGCCTAACTTTTCATGCAGTCTGACCTTTGAGTGTATTCTTAAGACTGAATTTGAGTTATCAGTTACCAAGGTAACATGCTAGGGTTTCATCAGCCACAGGATTATGATTTCTCCGCAGGATAAATCAAGCAGAGTAGATGCGTTTTAAAGGAGAGGGGTTGGGGGTTTTTTTAAATTCTTTTAATTAGGCTGGTTTCCTTTGCCTTTTATTTTACCATGGGAGTCAGAATATGGAAGCCTGTCCTGCAGCATTAGAGGGACCAGTGAAACACAGTAGTTTGTCCTCATGCTTGCACAGCCCCTGACAGATCTCCATGTTCAGAAAGGCTGCTAAAAGAAGCTGCTGTTTTCCATCTGCTCCTGTTACCACACCTCCAGAACTATCATCCAGCCCTTCCTCTGCTGCCTCTGTGTGAGTCGTCCCTAATTTGCTATGTACAAAATATAATTTGCTATATACAAAATCCACCATGTTATCTCAAACACTTTAAATTGGCAGTGTGTTTGCACCTGGATTTTGCCCAAAGCAAATTACAGAGTCATAAAATGTGTTGCTGGACAGATGAATTAGCTGATTGTAACCTTCAGCATAGGTAGCAAAGAGCACCTGGGAAAGAGTGCCATATTTCCTAGCTGGAGGGAAGCAAAACAGCTGTTCATTGCCACATTGTTACAAGCATATGTGGGTTATTTTTTCTTGAATAATCAAATACCTGATGGAGATTCTTTAAGTCTTGCTGTCTTTCAGTGCCCTAGGGATAGGCACTCATGCATCTTTCAGTGCATCCCTCCCCGTTGCAGTGCTGTTCTGCTCTAGCATGCATCTTCAGAAGAAGAGCTTTTGCTGTGAGTTATTATTTAATCAGGAAGATGCAAAATTCTCCCTTGGTCTGTGTTCACTTGAGTAGCAGACATTTATTTTGAGGAACCAAACCACTTCTGAAATATTTTCTTTCCCTTCCTTTTCCTCACATTTTTCTTTCCTGTTCTCTTAAGCTTAGACTTGCCTCAACTCTACTGTTGCACTTTTTTCTGTTCCCTCTCATTTTTGTATCATCCTTCTTTTTTTGCTAGGGTCCTTAAGTGGACTATGTGTAGCCCAGCACATAAGACAGCCTCTTCAGTAGTACTTTCTCTAAATAGTTCAGCTATTGACTGAAGCTTAAAAATGGGTAAGGGAAAGGAAGACTATTTAACTGTATCAACCAGCTATTTTTTTGAACAACACTTAAGAATATTTGGTTGTACAACACTTCAAGAGCAAGGTTTATTCATTACTCCTATGTTTTGAATAAATTAGATTTCTTAGTTTGTCTTTTACTGCCATCTCCTCCTTTCTGTTTCCCTAAGCTAAAGCTGCTGAGACATTATATATGTATGATTAGATAGTTTACATTTTCCCTATTAATTCATGTGGTAGTATTTAAAATCTCAGATGATTACAACAGAGTAATAAATCCCCAATAATTCAAAATTGGTCTTCTGGACACCCAACTGTGCAAAATAGACTGCTGTTATATTAACTGCAGAGATACCAGGAAGACTTATGCAGGTTTTTGTGTTCCTGTAAGAAATGCTGCAGAATTATGAACATAAAACCTCATCCTTTCTCAAAGAGCTTAGCCCTCATATCTGAGTTAAACTGAGCTGCAAGAGGTGAGTGGCAAGGTAAAGTAGGAAGCTGACCTTCTTATGGTACAAGGTTGAACACCTGAACTCTATTAAGTTGG